CGTCTTCTCTTTACTAATCAAATTTGCAAGTCGCTTGCTAATAAGTTCGAAGATCATATGTTATTATGCATTCATTTCCTGTTTTTTTCACATGTTCAGCTTAATTCTATCGGATGCATTTCGGTGTATTCATAAATTTTTGGCATTCCAAAGAGTCTTCGTGAAATAATTTTTTCTGCCATCAGAATACCATCTTTCTACAACTTACTTTGTGAAATGGATCAAAATTTGTCGAAAGAAGAGTTGTGATTCAAATTTCGGTTTGCCGTCATCCACATAACCGTTTAAACGATTTCAGACTTTCCTGACATCGATTTCCTTATCAGCAATCGCAACCAATGGTGTTGTACCGGGTGGAGGGCCGTATTATATGATATCACGGAATTTAGGTCCTGAATTGGGTGGTGCAGTTGGTATTCTCTTCTTTTTGGGTACCACAGTTGCTGCGTCCATGTATATCACCGGTGCTGTTGAGATTCTCATTGTGAGTCTAAATTTAAATTTAATTCGATAATATTTTGTTAAATTAACCAATACACTTGTTAATATCATCAAAAAAACACTAATTTCTCATAAAATGTCCCTAACCGAGTCTAGCTTAAGGATTCAGTTTGATGTCGCGCGAGCGATTCCACTAACAGTTATCGACTTTGAGTTTAACTGATCCATCGTTATGTTATTCATTGTTATTCATATGTGCACATTATAAATTCCATTTGTATCATTTGGATCACGTTATTCCACCACAATAGTTCCACTTGCAATTTTCTTCCTTGATTTACTGAAAGCAGCAAAATTTCAGCTGTATTTGTTTCCAGCAGCTAAAATATTCGACAACATTTATCATTGTTTTCGAGTTCATGGCACTTGTCTTCTCATTATTCTCGGTCTTATTGTGTTGGCCGGAGTTAAGGTTTGTTCATTACATCTTCACGCAGCGATACAAAACATTTCAGAGAATTTCCACTCATTGAGAGTGAATTTCATCGTTGTGTAGTCCACTTAAATATGGATTACTGTCGAGAGTAACTTCGATCATTAGCAGCGTCGTTGACATTACCTTTTGTTGCTCTTCTAGATGATTACGGAACAAATATTACAATTCCCTATTCTTTCCTATTAATCCTATTTATTTTATGGTTTTGCGTTCATTTTTCTTATCAGTTCCCAAATCACAAACAAGACAGTGAAATGGGAACTTTTCCTTGTTCAAAATCCTTCTGAATCGAAAATTTGATTCATACGAACAGTTTTGACTTATTGTTTGTTATGCATAGTTCAATAATTCGTTCTCTTGCGACGATTTTCATGAATGGAATCAACTCAAGTCAATTCACTATTGCATTTTCAGGTGGTGAACAAGTTCGCGCTGCCTGCCGTTTTTGTTGTTTTAACGTGTATTTTATGCACTTTCATCGGTGTTTTCGTCAAACTGAATGGCTCAGATTCGTTGAAGTTAGTCACCACTGATTGAATTCATTACGTAATCCCAAATATTTTCACGCCATCTGAATTCAGTCGTAGCAATCGAATTTTCTCCTTGTTCACATGAAAAGTTGAAATCTGTTGTTCACCTAATGTCGCCAGTAATACTGCTGGAGTATTATCTGAATGTTGGGATATATGGTTTGAATGTTCAAATTCTTCAAAATTGGTAGAACCGATTGTTTTCCTGGAATGACTTCACCTGAAAATCGCTCAGATATGTGCAGTTTAGATATTGTATGGTTGGTGATCGCCCTGTGGATTTGGTGTCGTTCAATGAAAAGTTTCACTATGTACCGAATTGTACTGCTGAAGCATTGGAACCACTCTTTTGTACGGTGCTAAACGAAACGTCAATGCAGTGCGAACCGTACTTCGCGCGGATGGCACGTATTCCCAACTGGAAAGGTGCTGGACCTGCGATCCGAGAGCATGTCAGTATTCCTCTTTTTCAATATCAGTTTACATTCATTCAGTTCAATTTGCTCTTCGAATATCGACTCAAATAATTTAAACAACCATAGTATCCGCTCAGTTGATTTGAATATTATCACTTTCAGATCGCGATCCCAGGCCTAGCAAGCGGTGTTCTCTTCGAAAACCTTTGGAGCAAATATTTGGGTGTTGGAGAACTTTTATCGAAGGTTTTTTTTTAATTCGATTACTTCAAATCGGCGATCTGCAATTTCCATTGTGATCTGAAAAACTATGATTCGTCAGTGTGATTGATAGATAAGAACGTCAAAATTCTACGAAAATTCGTTTATGTTAATTGATTAAGCGGAAAAATTACCCTCTTCATGCATATCGATTTCTTAAATTACATGATTCTAAGGATTTCTCTCTTAGGTTTTATCAAGACAAAAATTCCATAGTCTATGATCGTCGTTATAGTTTCCATCGATAAGCTAACCACGTTATCTCTTGCAATATTGACTCGTGTTTTGGTAGATGTAAAGGGTGCGATTTCGTGAGTAAAATGTTGATGTTGCTTAGGAGAAACTACCACGTGAGAGGACGGATCGTGCTCACGTTCAAGGTTACTATATATTCGCAGAACAAGCAACATCATTCATGATTTTAATCGGTGTCTTCTTCCCATCTGCTACAGGTGAATTCATTTCATCTTAATCATCTAGCCAAATGGCAGTATTTCCGTGCGATAATCGCCTCCTCACCCGATTGCTTGCTCCTTATTGCAACGAGAGATTTAAAAGTGGACAATAAATAAATTAATGAATGAATCATTCATTTACATAGACATCCAGTTAGGGAAGTATTCTTCAATCTAACAAGGTCAAAAAGCTGCCGTTACAAACGTATTAGATGAATGTATTGAGCAGAACGGTTAATTGGAACAAGTACAGTAAACATTCGTTAATTAAAGCTTTTATTAATGTTGGATTTCAGTGACAGAATTGAGCATCTTCAGACATACCTTAAGTGGAATGAAAATAATCTCAGCTCTTAGATCATAGCCGACCCATTATAGGAAGTGGCATTGTTGTAGTGCCGCAAGTAGCTAACAATGTCATCCGTTTCATCAGAGTCTAAAACAAATAAACACTTATCATTCAATACGAGTAGTGGATTTGAACATGAGTACGATATTTGTATTCTGAAGGGTCCATAAACCAATATTTAATCGAAGAATTCAGTCGGTGAAAATGGATTGACTCATGATGAATTCTGAACAAATCTTCTACTTTATATGAACTATGCATTTAATTCCCTAAGAAATTCACTTTATATCTAAATGCACATCTATTTTGTGGGAAACGTTCACATATATTAAGCCTGATGGTAGATGATTATAATATCCGAATCAGTTCCCGGATATAAACCTACTAATCAGTATTGTTCAGGTATAATGGCTGGCTCAAACCGTTCCGGTAATCTGCGTGATGCGTCCCGTTCAATCCCACTCGGAACTCTTGGTGCACAAATTACAACGAGTATTGTTTGTAAGTGATTTTTCGCTTGCTTATCCTTCGTGGGGATTTACCCCCTGATCTAGTGCATTCTCGTTGGTGGATTTTGTCCCGATTGCTTGGATATTTAGTCCTGTTTCGCTGCCGCAATTTGATTGAAGGAATATGCTCTCTCTCTAATGCAGTGCTTATTTCCTTTGTTAACAAAATTGTCAGCTATGTTGTCAAGCGTTCATCATCGCAATTTGTCATATATTTGAATTAGGTGAATGTATTGGTAGTAAGTAATGAAGTATGATACACTAGGCTTTGCATGAACTATGGTTTGAGGTTTTTGATGAATGCAGAAGAATTGTTTCAATGTTGCAGATCTGTTCGGTG